TCACGGTGCTGGAGAAGAAGCTGAGAGTTCTACATCTTGACCTGATGGCAGTAGGAAACTGTCTGCCACACTGATAGCTTGAGCATGTAAGACCTCCACAATGACATACTTTCTTCAACAAGGCCACTAGTGTGGCCCTGTATACTATAGCCAAGCATCCAAACACATGAATCTGTGGAGGGCAGCCCTATTCAAACCACCACATTCTACTCCCTGGCCCCCACAAGTTTGTAGCTATAGCATAACGCAGAAATGCATTCAGTCCAACTTCAGAAGTCCCCATAGTCTGTAAGAGTCCCAAACTTGTTTTAAAGTCCAAAGTTAAACGTTTCTTCTGAGATTCATGCAGTCTCTTAACTATATAATCCTCTCAAATCAAAATAAAAAAACAGGTCACATACTTCTAACATATAATGGCACAGGATATACATAGGAGCACAGTGAGGAAATACTGGACCAAAGCAAGACTGAAAACCAGCCAGGCAACCTTCAAATCTGGTCTCATGTCTGATGTCAAAGCACTCTCCAACTTCAGCACTGTTGACCGCAGCATGCTTTTCTCTCTTGGGCTGGTTCCACTCCCTACTAGCAGCTTTCCTCACCAGGTAGCCCGTGGCTCTGACCTCTCCAACATCTTGGGGTTTCCAAGGTAACCCAGGTTTCATCTTCACAGCTTTGCACAACAGCTTTTCTAGGCCTCCATGCAGGAACACCCCCTCCCACACACCTGGCCTTTCCTTAGTTGTGGAGGGAGAGTCCACAATCCCTTTCTTCTGTCTTTGGTTCTAAAGCCAGCACTGGGTGGCTGAAGCTATCAAATACTGCTGCTTGCTGGAGTTGGAACATGAACTCCTTGTTCAGTTACATCTTAGACCAAGCTGGCCTCAACCTCAGAGATCTACCAGCCTCTGCCTTCTGAGTGCTGAGTGGAATTAAAGGTGAATGGCACGACACACAGCTCTAAGTTTTTCTGGGTGGAGTCTTGCCCCCCAGCAAAGGTCACCACTGCTTTTAATATCAGTTTTTTCTTCAATCTGTTTATCTCCCTGAACACAAGACTTAGTTAGCTCCACTCCACTTCCTAGTGCCCTTTCCTCCTCAAATTGTACATTTTCTGTTTTTCCATGCTCAGCTTGCTCCTTTTCATTATAGTTCTTCATAGGAGTGAACACTAATAACCACACGACAGAGTCAGTACTAGGCTGTTTTGAGATTTCCTCTGCCAACAGAATTAATCCAGATTCTTTAATTTAGCCTCAGGCAGACTTTTGGACAAGGGCAAAAGCCACATTCTTAGCCAGAAAATCACAGGAACAGCCTGTAGGCCACACACTAACATTCTTCTCCTCTGAAATGTCTTGAGCCAGGCCCCACAGTTAAAACATTTAATTAGGGCTGGTTTATACTTTCAGAGGTTTAGTCCATTATTGTCATAGCAAGAAGCATGTATACAGACATGGTGCTGGAGAAGGAGCTGAGAGTTCTGTCTTCATCCAAAGGCAGCAGGAGACTGTGTGCCATACTGGGCAGAGCTTGAGCATATAAGACCTCAAAGCTTGTCTCCACAGTGACACACTTCCTCCAGTAAGGCCACACTAATAGTGCCGCTCCCTATGGCCAAGCATTCGAACACATGAATCTCTGGGGGCTATTTCTTTTCAAACCACCACAAATGTTTTGGGAATGTATGTGTTTTCTTCCTAGAGTTTTGGTATTTAAAACCTTGGCTGTTTTTGGTCTTTCTTGATTCAGTATGAATTCTTTTTTTAAAGAAAAATTTTAAGGATTGCAGAGAATATGTAGTTTTGTTTTGTTTTGTTTTGCTTTTTAAAAAGACATGTTCATGTATCTGAAACTAGCCTTGAACTCAATATATAACTTAGGCTGGCCTTTAACTCCTGATTTTTCTACCTGCCTTCTGAGTGCTGAAATTACAGGTATGTGCCAATATACCCATCAAGCATTGATATATTAGCAGTCTTTATTTATGTACTGTTTCTGTTTGTGTGTGTGCACATATGATATACATGCACACATGTGGATGGCATGGGAAGGCCAGAGGTTAATAACCAAGTATCTGCCTTAGTCACTGTCACCAATTTTGCTAGATTGGCTGGCCGACAGGCCTCGGGATCCCCCTGCCTCCACCTGTCAGCCATGGTGTTTCAAGTGTGTGCTGCCGTGCCCAGATTTTTGACCTGGGTGCTGGGCATGGAACTCAGGTCCTCACGCTTGTGCAGCAAGCACGTGATTGACTGATCTCTCTTCCAGCTCCTTGTAATTAAAAACAATTAGGCATGTTGTACTTGTCAGTGGGCAGCCATGTGTGGAAGTCAGACCTGGTTCTCTCCATCATGCTGAGTAGTAAGGGCCCTTACCAGCTGAGCCATTTTATTGGCCCTGTTTCTATTTTCAAACTCTTCATGTAGGTGAGGATGGCCTTGAACCTCTGTTTAGTGCTGGGATCACATGTGTGTTACCATACCTGTCTTACAGTGCTGGGATTAAAGGCATGTGCCACCATGCCCAGCCCTGTTTTCTTTTTTCTTTTTCTTTTTTCTTTTCTTTTTCTAGTTTTTCTTAATGTTGCATTATTCTGCATTCCTGAGGTAAGCTTCACTCCCCTTTAATACAGTTTACATCAGATCATTAGTGTTTTGTGCTTGTTGCACCTCTGCCTCTAAGATCTAGCTTGGTCTTTGTAATAATTCTGGGTAGCTTTAAAGAATTAGTGTCCAAGGCCTGCAATGGCTCAGTGGGTAAAGGCGCCTGTCTGTCCCCAGGCTGATGGCCTGACTGTGGTAGTGAACTTGCTTAGTGTTCACGAGGCTCTGGGTTTAATCTTGTAGCACACATACACACACACACATGCACACGCACACGCTTGCCTGTGCCTGTATAGCATGAGAAGATTAGTTCGTACTACTTGACTCATTTGCGATTCTTTTCCTCGCTCCTGTACTTCCGTCAGTGGATACCGGCCTGATGTGGGGCTACACAGGACCAGCATGTGTGTGGTCTTGAGTTTGGTCTCCCGCAAGGTCTGCGGGCTGGCAGGTCCAAGGTTAGAGCACCAGCATACTCTGGCGTCTGGTAGGATTGCTCTCTGCTTTCACAGCAGGCTCTGTCACTGACCCCTCTAGAGACGAGGAAAGCTGTGCTCTTATGCATCTCTTTACCATTTTAGTTACTGGAAGCATTTTTAAAATTACATTGAGAGAGTGAGTTTCCCCCTCCCTTTCTTTCCCCCACCTTCTCCCTCTCCTGCTCAAGTGATCCTGACTTAACCTCCCAAGCAGCTGAGACAACAAGGGTGTGTCTCTTTTTAAAAAAACAAAACAAAAACAGTGCTGGAGAGGTGGCTCAGTGGTTAAGAACACTGGCTGCTCTTCCAGAAAACTCAGGTTTGTTTCTTAGCACCCACACGGTACCTCACAGCTGTCTAACCCCAGTTGCAGAGCCAGCGCCATCATCTGGCCTCCATGAATACCAGGCACACACCACGTGCACGCAAGAACCCACACATATAAATAAAATAAACAGGACAATTACAAAAACAAAATTATTGCCAGATGTGTGACGCACACCAGTGAGCACAGGAGATGGAGGCAGGTGGATTAAGAGTTCAGAGTCTTCATTAGCTACATAGTGAGTTCAAAGCCAGCCTGGGCTACCTGAGACCATGTTTCAAAAAAGAGAAGAAAGTGTTTTCTGTCTGAATATTGTATAACTAAATGTGAGGTTTTCTCTTGCCGTGTGTATGTGTGTGTATAGGTATGGATAGAGGCCAGAGGTTGATATCTGGTGTCTTTCTCAGTCCCCATCATATTTTTTTGTCTTGAGACGGGGTCTCTCAGCTTGCCGGTTCAGCTAGCTGGCTGAACAGTGAGCTGCGTGTATCCTCCTGTCCCCACCGGCCCTGGGATCACAGGCATGTACTGCTGCACTTGCCTGCACAGGTGCTGGATCTGAACTCGGGTTCTCATGCCTGCAGAGGAGGCACTGTGCCAAGTGAGCCATTTCCTAGCTGCACTTGTTTTGCTTATATTCTCGGCATCCACTATAGTCACTCGAGCCTTTCATAAATTTTACCTAGAGGCTTCTGTATCCGCCCCTAGTGATTTACACAGCCATATCTATGAGATTTTTGGCCCTGTTCTTTTTCTCAGTTACCTTGTGCCTCTGCTTAAAGGAGTTGTTTCACTGCTACTCAGAAAGATGGTTATGAAGATGTTGTAGCAGAACGGAAGTTGGTGCTTCTGTGTTATATGAAAAACACACAGTTACGAAATTACAATAATTGTAACTATTTAGGGAAATGGATAAAAACAAGGGGGCTAAGCTTCCTCTCCTCTCCCTGCTTGGTAACTGTGAGCCGCAGAAGTCTCTCCCTGTATTGGCTGAACTTGAGAATGAAGGAGCCCAGGGCTTAGGCATGTAGCTCAGGGGTGGAGAGCTTGCCCAGCATGCACAGGGCGCTGGCTTCCGTTCCCCAGCATCAAAAGAAATGAAAAGCAAAACAAAACCCAGGACTTTGACGTGGCTCCCAGCATGGCTGGTTTTTGCTTATGCCATCTGTGGCACAGAACAGTCAGCAGTGATGCTTTCAGGGACAAATGCTGGATGTTGTTTTGGACATGGGTTTCAGGGTTAGAAAGGTCAGAATAAGCCGTTTGACTCTTAGCCCCGGGAAAGAGTTTCTTACCTGCTCAGAGTGTGACCTAATGAGTTGCAGAAGGCAGCTAGAGGAAATGCACTCAGGAAGCAGAGGCAGTCTGGGGCCACGCTCAACACTCCCTGCCGGGGCTTTGGTTTACGCGTTGTCCATGTTGACTGGTACACTTCAAGGCAAATGGAATTGCCGCTTAGAACTGCTCTTTGACCCCCACCGTGTTCTGGGGCGGGCACACGTGGTGAAGATAGCAAGTGTACCAACAATGAGTGGAAGGAGACACTAACCATTGATGCCTGCCCCGCCCTTCTGACCCTATCTTCACCAGGTGACCCTGCCCTCAGCATGAGTCACTGGATGTTCCATCAGCAGGCCCTGCAGGAGTACATCTTGATGTGCTGCCAGTGCCCAGCCGGGGGTCTGCTGGACAAACCTGGCAAGTGAGTGTCCTCTTGGGGAGGAGGGGAGAGGGAGGGGGAAGATGCCACCCAGGCCCACTCAGAGCCAGGCCCATCAGCCTGGGGTGGCCCTGTCCTTCAGCTGCTTAGCACCACGCAGCGAAAATGCTGCAGCTGGGGCAACTTCTTCCCGTGCCATTGAACATTCCAGCTCTGGCTGCTCATCAGTTCCCAGCTCAAACGTTCCTTCCTGCTTCCCCAGAGGGGCAAATGGATTTCTGACTTGGTAGCTTTCCTTGACTGGTTTGGTTTTGTTTTTTCGAAACAGGGTTTCTCTGTGTAGCCCAGGCTATGCTAGAACTAGCCTTGAACTCAGAGATCTGTCCTTTTCTCCCTCCGGAGCAAAAGGTGTGCATCATAATGCCTGGCTTTCTTTACTGTTTTGTTCTGTGTTTTTCTTGTTAAGCCCGTTTAACCTGAACAGGATAGATGGAGGTGGAGTGACCTAGCATATATGACATCCTGGGGTCAGTCCTGAGCACTGTAAAATGGAACATAGACTAGGCTATGAGCTGGGCGGTGGTGGCGCACACCTTTAATCATAGCGCTTGGGAGGCAGAGGCAGGCAGACCTCTGAGTTTGAGGCCAGCCTGGTCTACAGAACAGTTCCAGGACAGCCAGAGCTACACAGAGAAACCCTGTAGCGGGAAGGGGGCAATATGCTATCAAACCAATGAGTGTTGTAAACGGATTATAATCCAGCAACTATTCTAGAGTAAATTAAATGACTCGATGCAAACCGAGTCCTGTGTGTGGTACAGTAAACGGAAAAGGTAAATAAAATGAGATGCTGTAACGCTACACACACAGACATCTGCTGCCACAGGGGAGAAGGCCTGGCCCAGCAAATTATCTAAAGGAGTGTGATAGATTTCTAGACAGTTGTGATTTGTTCCTAGAGAAATACATTAATTTAGTCCTGCCACTGGAGAGCCCTTCCCAGACAGCTGAAGAGACCAAATGACGGTTCCCATGGCTGAGGGTGTGGCTCGGCGGTGACTGTACTAGCCTGGCAAGTGGGAAGGGAAGCCCTGTGGTCCATCCTCATCACTACAGAAAAACGAAAGAAAAAACTGGAGTCTCCTTGTTGGGCAGGGCTGGAAAATGGGACCTTCAAGCCCACTGCTGGGAACAGCCATACTTCCTTTGGGCCTTGAAGCGGATGGGGTCTTCTCAGAGCTGTCTGTCCTTGCAGGTCCCGTGACTTCTACCACACCTGCTACTGCCTGAGTGGCTTATCCATCGCCCAGCATTTCGGAAGCGGAGCCATGCTGCACGATGTGGTCATGGGCGTGCCCGAAAATGCCCTGGTAAGGCAGGTGGGGTGCAATGCCCCTCTACAAGGTCTTCCAGGTCAGGGGGCCTCATTTCAGAGGGGCCACCTGTGTGGCTGCAGAGCCGGCCCTGTCTCCTGGGGGGGATTGGGAAACTCACAGGCCCCACCCTCCTGGCCTTTTGCAGCCCATGAGCGAGGGTGTGAGCGGAGGAAATGCAGGGCCAGGCAGAGGCATGATTTCTGTGGCCTGCGACTGTATTCCGGCCTGCTGCTGACCACAGTTCCCTCTCCAAGGTGAACACAGTTGTGACTCAGAGCCTGGGGGCCTCGGGCATGGACAGGGTGTTCCCCTCACTGGACGGCCAGCTTCGTCTCTTGGCTTACATGCCATCTCTTCAGAGATGGACTGCCCACATTGCCGTGCTGTAGCGGCACATGTCAGTTTGCCGTGTTTGGGGTGTGTGTGTGTGTGTGTGTGTGTGTGTGTGTGTGTGTGTGTGTGTGTCAGCCCTAGGCTAGGGATGTAGCTCATGCACAGGGTCCATGACTACGTGTGTTGGGGGCTCAGGCCCCCACCACAGGAAAGGAGCAGGGTGCTGGCCACCATGACCTGTGCTCAGCAGGAGGAGATGTTCTACACCTAGTCCTGAGCCCCAGAAATAAATGCAGCTGAGACTCCCAAGTAACAGAGACCATGCAGACTGTCATGGCCACCCAAACTATGAAGTTCTACCTCCAACAGATATCAGTGCTGAGCCTTATCTTTTCATCTGTCTTATACGACCTTCCTTTCTTTGTGTTGGGAAATATTTCAAGCAGAAGTGAAAATAAATGACAGATAGATGAAAAAAATCATTATTTTTTTGTCAGGGTCCCACTAGGTCACTCTGTAGCTCTGACTGGCCTGGAATTCACATTGTAGACCAAGTTGGCCTTGAACTGTGTCAGTTCTCTGCCTCCTAGGGTGGCTGGGTTTATAGCTACAGCCACTACACTGGGTCCAACCTTTGGTGGGTTCACATGTGGGTGCACATGGAGACCAGAGGGCAACCGTGAGTGTCGTTTTTGTTTGTGTGTTTGAGATTCATCTGCTTCGCCTCCTGAGTCCTGCTAGGTTAAAGGTGTGCCCCAGCAACTCCAGCTTCCGTCTCCCTTTCTGTCTCTCAGAAGTGTCGGGTGGCCAAGGGCTAGGACGTAGCTCAGCTGGTGCAGTGCTCACCCAGCATGCATACGGCCCCCTCCCCATCAGTCCTCAGTACTAACTACATGAACCAAGCAAGCCTGTCATCGCAGCACTTGGGAGGTCGAGGCAGGAGACCAGAAATCCAGTCATTCTTAGCTGCACTCCTCTCAGATAGAGGCCAGCCTGGGCTACATGAGACCTTGTCTAAATAAGTAAATGAGGGGCTGGCAAGATGGCTCAGCAGGTAGGGGCGCTTGTTGCCAGGCCTCATAACCTGAGATCGCTCTGGATCCTATTCAGTAGAAGAAAACCAGCTCCACTGACCACACTGCACGTGTGAGCTAGGAGCCTAAAGAAGAAAGCTTAAAATCTTTTCTGCGGTTATACCCTCCTCTTCTTCACTCACCCAGAGTGAGGGGCCCCCAGTACTGGTCTAAAATTCTGCCCTGCCTCAGATCTTAGGTTTCTTTGGAGTTTCTGTGATATAGGGAAATAATGTAAAAGAATTGAAATATGATCTGACACTCCTATCCTCAAAGGAGTTGTGTTTCTTTCTTTCTTTCTTTCTTTCTTTCTTTCTTTCTTTCTTTCTTTCTTTCTTTCTTTCTTTCTTTCTTTCTGTCTTTCTTTCTTTCTTTCTTTCTTTCTTTCTTTCTTTCTTTCTTTCTTTCTCTTCCTTCCTTCCTTCCTTCCTTCCTTCCTTCCTTCCTTCCTTCCTTTCTTCCTTTTCTCTTTCTTCTTTCTTTCTTCCTTCTTCCTTCCTTCCTTCCTTCCTTCCTTCCTTCCTTTCTTTCTTTCTTTCTTTCTTTCTTTCTTTCTTTCTTTCTTTCTTTCTTTCTTTCTTCTTTCTCCTTCCTTCCTTCCTTCCTTCCTTCCTTTCTTTCCTTCTTTCTTTCTTTCTTTCACAGGGTTTCTTGGTATAGCCTTGGCTGTCCTGGACTTGCTTTGTAGACAAGGCTGGCCTTGGATTCACAGAGATCAGCCTGCTTCTGCCTCCCTCAGTACTGGGATTACAGGCATATGCCACCGCACCCAGCTTACAATCAGGTTTCTTAATTATGACCATAAATACACCCTCACTGTTTTAATAACTGAAACACAGAATAAGAGCAAAAGTTAGTGCCATCACTTTTGCCATCTTGGTGGTCTGGCAGCCCCAGCCTGTCGTCAACAGCTGTCAGCATGTTGTGAAAGGAGATTTGAGACGATTTTGTGCACAGCGCTTTGCTTGTGTGTTACAGGTTAAGCGTCCCTGATGTGAACATGTGAAATCCAAAATGCCTTAAGAGCTAAAACTTTTCAAGTGTCACTTTAGCACTCAAAAAGTTTTGGAGCCAGGAGTGTATGCATCTGTAATTGCGGCACTGGGGAGGGCTACATCCTGTCAGAAAAAAAGGACTCTTCATTTTTCGTTCCATAAAAACTGAAGTCATGTCATGTGCACGAGAATGGTTGCAACTGGAGCTGTCACAGCAAGCAAACAGAGCAGTCTCAGGACGACGACATGTTTTCTCTCATTTCTGGGTCCAAGGTTATATATAGACACATAAAACACGAATGCATCTATGGCATGGGGACTGTGTATGGGGACAAAGGGAATCAATGGGAGGGGAGGGGTGCTACAGGGGAGAAGGAATGAGAACTGTTAGGAGGGACTGCTCAGCACACAGAGCTCGGAGTGCACACATGTACAAACTTTAACTTTTAAAAAGGTACAGTGTTCTTCCTCCCCTCTCATCTCCCTTCTCCTCTTCCTCCTCCTCCTCCTCCTCCTCCTCCTCCTCCTCTTTTTTTCTCCTCCTCTTCCTTTTCTTCTTCTCCTTCGGAGACAAGGTTTCTCTGTGTAGTCCTGGCTGCCCCGAAACGCTGTAGGCCAGGCTGGCCTTGAACTCCCAGAGATCTCTCAGCCTCTCCCTCCCCAATTGCTGAGATTAATGGGGTGGGCAGCCACCACCCAGACTATTTTCCTCTTTTACTTTTGATCTGAACTCCATATGTGAGGGCAAATATGATCTTTCTACATCAGAGGTCTCGGGAAGAGAAACAAAAAGGACAATGGAATGTACGTACCAGGAAGGACAAAGGGGTGGCTATTTGGGGAGAGCTGGGGGACCAGCAGAAGTGGGGGTCAGAGCATGATGACAGTATACGTGAAACTGTCACAACAGAAGGCAGATGCAGCAGTGCACACCTGTTCTCCAGCACGGAGGAGGCAGAAGCTGGACGATCAGCAGTTCAAGGCCAGCTTACATAGCAAATTGAAGGCCAGCCTGGGGTAGAGAACAGTTAAAAAACAGAATGAAAGAAAGAAAATGCTCTAACAAATTCAGCACTTTGTTAATTACAAACAGATTTAGTGATAAAAAAAAAGTTACAATGCTTAAGAAAAAGGGTTTGGAGCAAGGAGGTGGCCTTGCGGTGGAACACGTGTTTACCATGGATAGGGTCCTGGGGAGAGTCTATGTGAATATTCCAAAATCCAACAAACTCCAAAATGTATTTCAGAGAATGATGAGCACTTCCTATGTCATCAAAGTATTCGAAAGCACACATTTAAGTGGCTGTATAATATTCCCTTGGGATTGTGTTCTATGAGAGGTTTCCAGCAGAGACTGTTTTTGTTGTTGTTTGTTTGTTTGTTTTGCACATTTGGGGCTGGAATAAACCTGTGTGCTCACCCATGCTCCTTAGTCTAAGTCCTGCCAGGTGCGCTTCAGTGTAGCAAGGGCCACACCCGGGTGACGAGTTTGCGTCTGTTCTCTTTACAGCAGCCCACTCACCCCGTGTACAACATTGGACCCGACAAGGTGATCCAGGCCACCACACACTTTCTGCAGAAGCCAGTCCCGGGCTTTGAGGAATACGAAGATGAGGTGACTGCGGATCCTGCCACCGACTAGAGGACCCCATGGCTCACCCAGCTCCCCTGTCAGACAAGGTTTTTCCGTTTGGGTAGCACGCTCTGTACTACATGAGCCTTGGCCACTGTGGAGTTGTGGTTTCTTTGTCCTTTCCTGTTAAACAAAACAAAGCCATCAGCTCTCGGTTTGGAATACACAGTGGTGTGATTTTTAAAATTATTTTCATACCTATCAAACCAAAACTCTGGGAGCCCATGTAGTGGGGTTGGAGAGCAGTGCATGCTGGGAAGCAGCAGCCTCTCCAGGCAGCCAGCAGCCTGGCCTTCCACGCTGACATAGAGGCTTGTCTGAGGATCTCAGCACCCAGCCACTGCTGTAACTCCCTCGTACATACCACCATTCAGCTGCCAGACAGGCACCGTCTCTGCTGTAAATGTCAGCTCTGTGCCAGGGTGGCACTGTGGGTCCTACCAACCTGAGCTCCCTGGAAAAGGCACTGGGCATGCTTCTGTTTGTCTCCCTCCCTCCAGTCGCCTGCAAAGGACGGGCTGGCAACGCAGAAGGGTCTTAGGTTGCACCCTCCCCGAAACCTAGGAGAACTGAGCCACACATCTCTCCAAGGCCGTGTCTGGTGCCAGCCAGGCTTGTTTCGTCATAGGTATGATGACCAGACCCAGGTAACCAATTATGAGTGGAAATCCAACCTCTAGGTCAACTGTGTGCCAGAGGAAGCAGCTTCCCCAGCCCCCGCCTCTCCGCATCATGTACCAGGAGAGGCCCTCCTCCAGCAGCGTGCAGCCCAGGCTCCTTCTAGTCCTTCTCTCCCTGTCCACCCACCCCAAGACGGGGTTGTCTTTTCTCATCTAGAGTATTAACACTACTAAGGCTTTCACCTTAACTGACAACTCAGGATTTGTTCCTGCCCTCTTCCACTCCTAGCTCACGGAAACAAAATCAAGTGCCAGGCAAGCTGGCTGCTGCGGGGACAGTAGCCGTGGGTGGTAGGGCAGGCGCTGCTGGTGTGCCGAGTCCTTGAGCGGCCTCTGCGCTGGCCCTCTCACAGTCGGTAGGGTGCTGAGTTTGGTCATTGCGTCCACTGCTACAGTCACAGCAAACTTATGTCACTGTCCCGGCCTTCATGTGAACAGGCAGACGGGAGCTTGGAGACGCAGCTTGAGGCTTTTCCCCAAACCACCGGCCATGTGCTGCCTCTAATCCCTATTGCTTTGCTGTCCTGGCCTATGTATTACCTCCTTGAAATAATAAAAGAGTAACATTTTCTATGCTCTCTTGATTTAAAAAAAAAGTTTTTAAAATGTGTATGTGTGTGTTGGGGGGTGTGCATGTGTGAGCGTGCAGAAGTCTGTATCAGATCACCTGGATCTGGAGTTACAGGCAGTTGTTATCTGGTTCAGTGTGGGTGAAGGAAATGAAATTTGGATCCTTTGTAAGAACAGCAAGTGCTCTAGCCATTGAACCTTTTTTCTTTTCTTTTTTTCAAGACAGTATTTCTCTGTGTAGCCTTGGCTGTCCTTGAACTCACTTTGTAGACCAGGCTGGCCTCTTAACTCAGAGACATCCGCCCGCCTCTGCCTCCAGGTGCTGGGGTTAAAGGCGTTGGGCCACCCCCACCTGCTACCGTTGAACTTTCTTCCCATCACGCTATCTCTTCCAAGAACATTACTTGCTCTGGGGATTTCCTGCCTCCTGCACGTGACTGAAGGAAGTAGAACTTCATTCGCCCTTGCACCTCTCTTCTTCCACACATTGAATATTGGCATCTGTTTCTGCCTCCAACCTGACCGTGCAAGGGACTGTGTTCTGGCATTGCCCACGGCTGGTGGGGGGGGCATCCTGGCCACAGGCAGGAGCTGGCATGGGTATAGCTAGACTCCTGGAGTTACTAGAAGGGACTCCCTCAGAAGAAAGGCCAAGAAGGCAGCATTCTGTGGCTTTTGCTCCTTGGGAAAGGAGACCTGAGAGCGAACTCCATCCATGCAAATAATCCAGGGCCACGTTCTGAATGCAACTCCCATCCCCTGGCTGTGCTTACCTTGCTAATAAAGGTTTGGGTTGCAATCCAACATATTCAAGCTTACCTGTCCACCACTGACAGTAGGAGAAGGCTCAGCACCGGAGCCTAAGGTATTGAAGATAACTGAGGTCATGAAACCATGTCAGTCTGAGCTGTCTCTATACCTAGGAGCAGGACCCGGAGGAGCTGGGCTAGGGGGAGGGGAAAGGGTGCATCCTGGTCCTGATGTCTCCAGATTTGTACTAACATTTCTCTAGAATTCCTTTTCTGGAGAACTTCCCAATTAAGCCTGGAGAGGCTGGTAGGCCTGGAGAGAAATCTCAAGTTTTATCTTATCCAATCCATAGTTACTAGATTTTATTTGATCCATATTTTATCATTTGGATCCTGAGAAGAAGACACTACTAGCATAGCCTTCAACTCCAGGAAGTTATGTCCCTAGAAACAAATACCAAACTACCACAGATCTGTGTCCACATGCGTTCCACCTGCCCTCCATTGGGGATCCTGCCAGCGCTTCCTGGCCACAGAAGGCAGGCTTCCGAGATCAGCCAGGGTGAATACCCCTGAGGTGGGTGAGCAGCCTTCTGAAAGTGTCCTTTCACTGTAGCCCTGTTTTGAGTCAATAACATCAGGTGAGCGTCTAGCCAGTAGCTCTGTGCATATAGCCACGATCAAAGAGAGAGGGGAACTGGCCCTCCTTTTCTGTCCGTTACCACTGCTCTGTTTTAAGACACCCCTCCCCCCACAGACCTTCATCCAGAGTCTCAGGGTTGGGCCGGGGCCTCCCCAACTCCATGTTGTCTCCTCTACTGGAGATGAATTTTTAACCCTGTGATTGCTCTTGTTTATCCCAATATCCAAGCATCTCAGGAAGACGAGTGAGGCCTGGTGTCTGGGGTCTCGGTCAGGTCTGAGACTCCTCTTTTCTTAGCTCCTGCAACTGTGCAGTTGGCATCAGCCCTACACCACCCTGGTGGCAGAGCCCACACAGCTGCCTTCAGAAAGGAGTGCAGATGTGCAGAGCCAAAGAGCTCGCCCAAGCCACGGAACTCACACAGAAGCCCATCTTCGGGTGGTCTTCTCTTCAGATCTTGTCCTTGGCTGTCCTTGGCCAGTAGTCCTGTGTCTTCTGGGTCTGAGAACTTAGGACTGCAGACCCTATTCTTGTGGATTCCTTTGAAGTACAAAACAGCAGTGTATCTTCCTGTGTCAGGACTTCAGCAACAGCATAAAGCCTGCCCAATCCACCAGGCCATCGGGGTGTTAAAGGCTAAATACCCGGAAGAGGGGCCATACAGGCCCCGAATCCTGGAGGGGGCAGGAAGATATGGTGACTCTGAGAACTGAGCTTATTTAACCAGAGCTTCCTGGGATCAGGACAAAACAAAAGGCTGGGTTGGGTTGCTGTAGAGTTCGAGTAGATGCCAGTTGCCAAGAGTCTCTTCCCGGTGATAAATTCCGTAACGTATCAAATAGGCCTTAGAGACACTGAGGACCAGAGCATCCTCACCTAAGCCGTTCCACAGACTTTGTAGGAGGACCTTATAGGAAGCCACTTGAAGACCAAGCAAAAGCAGAGGTCATAAAAGACGCTTGAATACCAGCGCCATGGAAGGGCCTCTCAAGGGCTAGCCTCACGCACACCCAGCTGTGTAGCTCCCTGGTGTTTTAATTCATCAGAGATAAAAGAGGGGACTGCATGATGCTTGTGAGCAAAGGCATGCCACCAAGCTTGGCTACCTGAATTTGATCCCCTGGGCCCCACCTGGCAAAAGGAGAGAACTGACTCCTACAAACTGTCCTTTGACATCAACGTGTGTACCGTGACATACATGTGCATGTGTGTGTGTGTGTGTGTGTGTGTGTGTGTGTGCAGGCACACACACACACATGATTATATAATCAATTTATGAAATTAATTGCATTAGTAATTTAATTTTAATAAATTGTGATAATTAATAAATTCACAATTTGAAGAAAACTTTGGGGCCTCAGTCATGGCTCAGTGGTTAAGAGAGTTTGTTGCTCTTGCAAAGGACCTGGGTTCACTTCCCAGCACCACAGGGCGGCTCACAACTGCATAACTGCAGTTCCAGGGGACCCAACACTCTGCTCTGGTTGTCTTGCACAGTAGGCATCCCATTAGGTGCACACATACCTGAAAGAAAATACGCACACCCAAATACATAAATGTCTAAAAAGGAAACCTGGAGAGGTGGTTGCTTGCATTTGTCTTACACTATTTCGCCAATACTGTCAATACTGTGCTTCTGGCGGGGTTAATAACCAGGGGTTAGAAATGGAGCTATCTGGGGCTGGAGAGATGACCCAGGGATCAAAAGCACCGGTTGCTCTTCCAGAGGACTCTGGGTCAGTTCCCAGCACCCACATGGCAGTTCACAACTGTCTGTAACTACTGTCCCAGGGGATCTGACACCCCCACATGGACATACATGCCGTCAAACACCAGTGTACACAAAATAAATGGAGCTCTCTGAGGCCAGAAATAGCAGGCTAATGGTAAAGTACTTTCCCGGGATGCTCAAAGCCTGGGGTTCTGTACCCAGCATCTCAAACTAAAATGAAAAAGGCAGCAGCAGCAGATGTTCAATGGTTCGGAGCGCAGTGCGGTTGTGGTGAGAAGCAGGATTGAAGTGTTGGGTGTCTGGACAAACAATGCTGACATTCCATCATGCAGATTAAAGCCCTTGTCTTTTTCACTGGAACCACCTCTTACAGGAACGTCTTCTGGGTAATGGCAGGAGCTCACCATTGCTTTCAGTCCAGAGGAGCGGACCAAACCCCCAGTGGGAAACGGACGTGTTTATATCTGCGTGCTTTCTAGACTCTCACTGTGTCCTAAAGATACAAAATCCCTGCCTGGGGCGCATCTCAGCCTGGGCACAGACTGGCACTTCTCATTTACCTCCTCCAGGGTAAGCCTGACTCAGGAAAGTTCACTTTTCTGCAGCTGATTGGAGGGCTATGACTGCTGCTTCCATCTGGAGAAAGTGGGGTGCTTCAGGGAAACTGCTTCCCCATGTTTTATTCTTTTTGTAAATCCAGCACTTTCAGGTTTTGTGGATAACACGTTCTCTTGCAACTGCTCAACTCTCCTGTACCACAAAACCACAGGAGTGTGGCTGTGTCCCAAGCCAAGCTGTGCTTACTCTGACAGGTGGTGACCCAGATGTGGCCCACGGCTGCCGTTTGTCCTGGTATATATAGCTGCCGTCTCAACTGTATTCATTTAGTGTTCTGCCCTATCTTCAGGGCTGTTTACTGTGGACTGTGAGACTCACATAATGCATTTAGTTGGTAAAGCTCTGGCTAAGCATTGCAGTCACTCACACACACTGCTCCGTGGCGTTCACTGCCTTGGACGGGTGTGGAGAACACAAAACTGAAGCTAATAGTGAAACTGACAGCAGCACGTGGTGGTGCCCGCCTGTAATTGCAGGATTTAGGAGCAGAGGCAGAAGGAGCCCAAGTTCAAGGCTGGCCTGAGCTATACAGTGACCCGACCACCTGAGTCGGATCTCTGGACCCCAACCAAAAAAGAGGAGAGAACTGACTCCTACAGGTTGTCCTTTGATCCATCTCATCATGTGGCATGCATGGGCACACACGTAAATAAATTAATAATCGAAAAAAAAGTTGGGGCTGAAGACTCAGTGAAAGAAAAAGGGAGGAAGGAAGGAAGGAAGGAAGGGAGAGAAAGAGAAAGGAAGAAAGAAAGAAAGAAAAGAAAGAAAGAAAGAAAGAAGGAGAAAGAAAAAGAGAAAGAAAGAGGAAGAAAGAAAGAAGGAAGGAAGGAAGGAAGGAGAAAGAAAAAGAGAAAGAGGAAGAAAGAAAGAAAGAGGAAGGAAGGAAGAAAGAGAGAGAGAGAGAGAAAGAAAGAAAGAAAGAAAGAAAGAAAGAAAGAAAGAAAGAAAGA